GAGAGAGGTGGGCAAAATGCACATATTTGCGATTTGTGGGGTTATGGTGACAAAAATCGTCGATTACAGACCGTGCCGCATTCCGATTGTTGTAGTCATAGCAACCTCCATTTTGTGCATAAACCGATATTTTTCCGCATAGTTTTATGAGTCGACTGCGTTAATCGCTCGCGTGTTTCTAACAAACAAGGACCTTAATGGCATTAGCAGCTGCTCGGATTCTATCTGACCATATCTACCTGAAGGGGCAAGATCGTTCCGCACTGATATACGCCGATTGTACCATCCGCATCACCAGTGTTGTGTTGCCTGGTTGACATTGCCAATATTTACGCACCAAGTTTAGCGTGATAACTCAGTTATACTCATGGTCAGTGTCGACGTTCAATCCGCTTGCCCGATTTGCCTTCTAATGCATACACCTACATGTGCCACGGGTCGGCAAAATCAACCCTTCAATCCAGTCCTCCCCAAACACGTGTGTGCGTTCTAGCAGCGAACCACGCAACCACCAATTGGCGCTACAGGATGGTACGGAGTGCAGCTGATGGATACTGATGTACAGGTCATAATGTATGTCATCTCAACTAAATGCGCATCGCATCACACGCTCGTGCTTGTAGGTATTCAATCTGCAATCTCTAAATGCGCATCACACGCACGTGTTTGTAGGTATTCAATCTGCAATCTCGAGTGAGGCGGCGGGACAGAGGGCTCAGTCACAATGGAGGTGCCCGATCGTGACCCGATCGTGCTGCCACAAGACAATCTTCGAGGACACCCGCGATGAAAGCTAATCTAATCTACATATCAATTCGCAGCAGACACATCTCCCTACAGACAGATTCATGTACGTCATGCATATAGACCAACACCAAAACATCGAATGTAATAAAAACATATACAGTTGCTATGCCACGACAGGTGTACGTATACAGTTGCTATGGCCAGACAGGTGTACATATACAGTTGCTATGCCCCAGACAGGTGTACATATATAGTTGCTATGCCCAGATAGATGTACATATACAGTTGCTATGCCCAGTCAGATGTACATATACAGTTGCTATGCCCAGACAGGTGTGCATATACACACCCGCGCACAATCTATCAGCTTTATTAAAACCAGCCGCCGTTTACTACACTCACTAAGTATCTGAGTGGCACCTTATTTCGCCGACACAAACGTTTCCGTGGGAGTGTTCGGGTCTGCACTCTCCTCAGACACGTGCGCGCATTCTTCTTCGCCTTCAATGTACGGGCGAGTCTCGTACTGCACATCCAAGTACGCCCACACTAACTCAGAGACGATGCTCTTATCGGGGACGGCCTGGGCCATACCGTAGATGACACCAGTGCCTGTAGTGTTAATAGTTCGGTACAATGTTTAACGGTCTGTTTATAGGACTAGCTAGTCATGAAAGAGCAACACATCCACACCTGTTTCGTAAGTTCGATGATGGAAAAGAGCTTCGAGGTCAACTATGCTTGCAGGGCTACTTGGGTGAATAAACCAAGCGACTATTGCGACGTGAACTAGCGGCGTACGAACGCAGTCATACACCCGCCGCCTTACCGTGTACCATGCATTTGCCACATGCTCTTATATACGAAATATATCATGTACTGTGCATTTGCCACATGTTCTTATGTATGAAATACATCATGTACTGAGCATTTGCCGTATGCTCTTATATATGAAATATATCATGTACTGTGCATTTGCCACATGCTCTTATATATGAAGTACATCATGTACTGTGCATTTGCCACATGCTCTTATATATGAAATACATCACTTAATCCACAGGGCTGGCATGTGCTTACAGGGGCCGGAAAACATGTGCGTAAGCTGCGTACTTCGGCATATCATACACAAGAACAGTCTTCCATGAATGTGTATACGTTCGCGTATAAAATAACAGGTATATATATATATATATATTCTTGAAAACAATACACTCACCGTAGACGCACACTCACCTTTCTTTATGCTACAGTATACATGGCTTCTTTCCATTATATTCACTCTTGGGCGTTTGTAACAACACTAAACATACCTTCGGTCAGCTTTTTGTTGGGGTCTTGCATGAGATCATTTGCGATTTCCTTGATATCATTCACCAATCGATCAATCACATCTTGCTCGACATGCAGATAGGTGAAGCATATGTGGAAGCTACACATAAAACGAAGGAAGCAAGACATCAGACTGAAGCATCGATAGTGTTCATCATGTTGCTGCCCGTGGCTTAAGTAGAGATAAAACATTGAAACATGCGCCAAATACAGGACAAACGACGCAATGGGATATGTGACGACATACCACGCCGGATACTGCAGCTGATTTATGAACCATCCTCTGTGGCCCATCTCGTTGCCCATTCGGTAGATATCGTAGACATCTGACCCAATGGCCAGCACAGTCACGTCGGGGGAGCCCACTATCTTCAGTCCAGGAACAGAGACCACACTGAGAGCACGCCAACGAAGTACAGGTACAGGCAGATATATATACGTATGTGGCATGTGTCAATGTACCTGTGTGTATATGCGAACGCCTGCGCTTGAAATGTTGTTCAGAATCGCGAATCAATCTCTACAGTCAAATTCATCAGGACATCGTGGCCATTTTTGAACTTTTGAGATAAACAAGGGGCTCGAAGTGTGTGTGTGTGTGAGCAAGCAAACAGTTGCGTTGTGAATCTAGCACCGTATGCGCACATGTACTATATAGTTCAGTCATCTCTGACTCGCCCTTAGTCACGTTCATCATCTGAGGAAGAAAACAGTTAACATATACAGTCCACTAACAATGAAGCAACTACGAGACAGGAGGTACTATAGTGCACGTGGATGTACTGATGAAAGAGGTAATCCTTGGAGAAGTGCAAGTGACAGTCGAGGTACTACAGTGCTCGTGGATTTACTGATGAAAGAGGTAATCCTTGGAGAAGTGGAAGTGACAGTCGAGGTACTACAGTGCACGTGGATGTACTGATGAAAGAGGTAATCCTTGGAGAAGTGGAAGTAAAAGTCGAGGTACTACAGTGCACGTGAATGTACTGATGAAAGAGGCAATCCTTGGAGAAGTGGAAGTGACAGTCGAGCCACTACAGTGCACGTTAAGGTGCTGTTGAATGAGGTAGTCCTTGGAGAAGTTGAAGTGACAGTCAAAGTACTACAGTGCACGTGAATGTACTGTTGAAAGAGGCAATCCTTGGAGAAGTGGAAGTGACAGTCGAGGCACTACAGTGCGCGTGAATATACTGATGAAAGAGGTAGTCCTTGGAGAAGTGGAAGTGACAGTCGAGGCACTACAGTGCGCGTGAATGTAGCTCATACGTGCACCTCAGTTGAAAGGGGTAATCCTTGGAGAAGTGGAAGTCTTGAAACCATGGAGGATTATAGACGCATCCAACTACCCGCTCTCTGTGGGGTATAAAAGAGTCGTATTCGTGTGCTGCATGCTACATGCTACATATGTTACATCGCCGGCATGGCGTGTACGCGTTAGTTGAACAGAAGGCGTCCATCGCATCGGATACAAAACGTGACCATTCAACCAAAAATCGCACACACAAACAGCAGACAATCCGATTAGAACACTGTTTCAACGTAGTCACACGTTACTTACATTTTCTGCACGGTTTCTCGAGCTTGTAAGATCTTCCTCGCACATTCAACGTAGCCTGTTGCAATATGCATAACACAGACTATGAGAATGGAAATGTCGCAGGACATGCATACCACAGCTTGTGAGAAAAAACAACTAGTGAACCAAAACCATAGAAGCGCAAATATGAATCACTTCCGACACATGTCAGCTGCAACTGACAGCACAGAGGTCTTCTTACTATCCGGCTGGCTGCTAACGCGAGTGTAACGCATCTGCAACTGACAGCACAGAGGTCTTTCTTACTATCCGGCTGGCTGGCTGCTAACGCGAGTGTCACGCTCTGCTGTGAAAGACTTACCGCAAAACAACACTGACTATAATACAACTACGCACAAAAAAAAGAAACTAAAATACAACTACGCACAGAAAAGGTTGTGATTGATATGCTAAATCAATACACATACCGTCATTGCCAAAGTGCATCATGGACGCCCAAGCGGTTGCTGCCAGTGCACCGGGACGACTGCCGGCCTGAGTGGGGGTGGCGTAGATACCTCCAGGCCACGAATCCTGGGGAAGTGCGATAAGCAGGAGATAGCCTTGTGTCACTAGAGGTGCACTATATATACATCACCGGCGCTACTTTAACCTTTTCAGCGTGTAGCCCCCATCGAAACACAAACACGCGTAGACGGGACTGTTGGTACGGCTTGCAGAGAAAGAAAGGGCAGGAGTGTGTATGCTACCCCGTCTACACAAGTATAGATCGCATGGGGTGTGCTTCAGGACTTACCATTACGAAATACTGGTAGTTGGTGTACTGGAGGACTTACCATTACGAAGTACTGGTAGTGGCGCAGCTCTGTGTTGCGGTACAGCACGACGGAGGTGCCTTTGGGCGTGTAGCCGTACTGTGGAAGAGCAGTGCAGGACACGGTCAATGGTAATGTTAACTCACTAATGTTAACTCACAGATATCATACCACACCCACCCAATACTCGGCTGCCACGTGTTCTGGGCGCACATAGACCAACACCAACCGGTAAAAACGAACAATAAAGTCAAACATGCACACGTGTGGTATGTGTATAACAAACAGTACCCCGTGACACGCGGATAATCAAAACTGCTATCCTAGCAGGTCAAATGCTCGAAGATAATAAAGCCAAATGATAAAAGATAGTAAAGTCAAATGCTACAGAAAGTTTTAAAGATAATATAAAAGATAGTAAAGTCAAATGCTACAGAAAGTTTTAAACATAATAAAGTCAAATGATCTAAAAGATAACCAGGTCAAATGCACAATGTAATACAATACTTTTCCTAAAACCTTTGTCTGTGGGGATTGCGAGTTGAGCCGTTGGTTGCACGCTTAACTCTGAACATCCCTAATGGTGTGCGCCCCGCTTGCGCCTACTGAACTTGTGCCAATTAGACGCTTCACGGTATAGCTACATATACTGTGAGTGTAGAATCCATATTGTATGTGTGTTGACTATACACTACATGTGCGTTGATTATCAACTGTGTGTGCGTCAGTCTAAATACTCTTGTGACTTGAAACTCTACCGTATAAGTACTAGTACATACTTTGTGTGTTACCGTATAAGTACTAGTACATACTATGTGTGCTACCGTATAAGTACTAGTACAATCTATGTGTGTTACCGTATAAGTATTAGTACATACTATGTGTGTTACCATATAAGTATTAGTACATACTATGTGTGTTACCGTATAAGTACTAGTACATACTATGTGTGCTACCATATAAGTACTAGTACATACTATGTGTGTTACCGTATAAGTCCTAGTACATACTATGTGTGTTACCGTATAAGTACTAGTACATACTAAGTGTGTTACTGTATAAGTACTAGTACATACTATGCGTGTTACCGTATAAGTACTAGTACATACTATGTGTGTTACCGTATAAGTTTTAGTACATACTACGTGTGATACCGTATAAGTACTAGTACATACTAAGTGTGTTACCGTATAAGTACTAGTACATACTATACGTGTTACCGTATAAGTACTAGTACATACTATGTGTGCTACCGTGTAAGTATTAGTACATACTATGTGTGTTACCGTATAAGTACTAGTACACACTATGTGTGTTACCGTGTAAGTATTAGTACATACTATGTGTGTTACCGTATAAGTACTAGTACATACTTTGTGTGTTACCGTAGTACATAATTTTTGTGATACCGTAGAAGTATTAGTACATACTTTGTGTGTGTCCATGGACATCGAGGTGACACCGTCGACGCGGAAGTCGAATGGTTTGACGGGGTAGCCAGCTTGATCCATAAACGGCACAATGAACCCACCCAGACAACAGTCCACGTGCATCCCAATCTTATGCTTGCGCGCAATTCTGTTGCCATGTGTGAAGTGACGTTCGATTAACATACACTATGTGGGTCTAATCTGTGCTACAGACGTTATTGCTTGCAGCAGGTGATTCTGCGGTACGACTCTCGGGGGATACCACAGTACTTCACGCACAGTGCTACGCCCCAGAACCGATTCCTCGAGAAGTGCCACACGCTACATCACTATTGGTAGAACCAGCACGAGAACTTATAATAAACTGTATTGTACGTCTACAACTAGGCTTAAGAAGTACTCGTCTATAACTAGGCTTAAGAAGTACTCACAATTGTTCTCCTCGAGGTAGATCTCAAATCCATAATGTGATGCAAACACCGTCTAACACTGTGCGTGCGTCTAGTATACGTGCAGGTGCCTATTTAGCTACAGACTTGGACCACAGGTGCAAGAAAGTCTTAACGACAACCTTTGCCAACGTGGTGTTATGAGTAAGCGGTTACATAACGTGATATATGAACTTCGGAGCGTTCGTAGTGCGGGAGACAAGAGCACACGCACATCGCGTTTGTAGCCAAAACATACACACACACACACACACACACACACACACACTCACAGACAGACAGACAGACAGACAGAGAGAGACATTTCTACGTACTGTGCGATCCCTTCGATGTCATCGATACAGCCGTGGGGAAAGGACGGTGCCGAGCCCACCACCATGATAGTGTTACTGTCCACTAGACGGGCCATGCTAGCCACGTCCACGCGACCGGTGGCTGGGTCTACAGCGCAGTGCTTGATCTTGATGCGATAGTAGTCGCACGCTTTGTCGAAGGCAACGTGCACGGACACGCCCACCACACTGAGTATGGACGAACAACGGGAAGGATGGGGATGGGGATGGGGATGGACAGGTGAGTGTGCAGTTGCAGTGGGTGCGGGCTGGGAGTGATCATAGCATCAAAGAAAAGGACACTTGTCCTCTTTCAGATACAACACAGATTGAAACATACAATGGATATCCGTCAAGTGCACAGCGTCTTTATAACATACATGTTGGGTTACTGGATGCCTTTTTGAAACATAGTCATGGATATCCCTCAAGTGCACAGTGACTTTATAACATACATGTTGGGGTACTTGACGGCGGTTTGAAAAATAGTCATGGATATCCCTCAAGTGCACAGTGACTTTATAACAAATATGTTGGGGCACTGGATGCTTTTTTGAAACATAAAATGGATATCCCTCAAATGGATATCCCTCAAGTGCACAGTGACTTTATAACATACATGTTGGGGTACTGGATGCCTTTTGTCTCTCTGGCCCACTCTCTGTGTGTACGTACAGCCATGCAGATCGACTCTGTGCCTCCCGACGTCATGCTGCCACAGGCCGTCTTCCCGTTCATCAAATTCGCACACATCTGTGTAGAAAGCGCACTCGGTAAGCAATTTGCGGGTGCTATTGCAGGCCTCCAAATGCGCCGAGTTGACACATAAGGAAGGACGATAGAAATAGACCGGCGCGCCTAGCTGTGTATAGGATGTATTACTATACTTATAGGCTTGTGTGGGTGAAAGGCCGGGCTGTGCATCGACGATACCAATAAACGGTTGGACGAGGCTTCTGTGGCATTTGGTGTACACATTCACGAACAAGCACATCTGTTAGAATACACGCTTGATGCACATAAGCACTAATGCTTCATTCTATTTCACTCGTATAGTGTAGGGTTGCATGCGTGTCACTGTACATGTATCTAGTCTTTCAGTACTAGTCAACGACAAGTGTACAAATCTAAACCGACAAATGACTATACAAACAGGTGCTTATCCACACATGACCACAACAGAACAGTCGGCGCGTGTGCACCCATAGTCTCAGCAATTCGGCACAATGAAACAATGGAGCTCAACCATCTACATCGATGCTGCAGGCGTGATACTATACCTGAATAACCTCGGATTCCATCTTAACACAGCCCGGGAAGACATCCCCGTGCAACGGATTCTCCCAAACAAACATACCAAACACCTCTTTGGCAAGTGATGTGATATCTTCTCCGCCATGGTACACGGTGCCTGAGCATCCGCCTTTGCTCCAGTCGGCCTTCTGCCTGCTCATGTCATTCATAAACTGACACGCCTTGACCACCTGCGTGCGTTTACAGTCATATTTTAATAACATGCAGTAAAATAGTGCAGTCTTAATAGCATACAGTACTATAGAACAGTCTTAATAACATACAGTGCAATGGAACAGTCTTAATAACATAGAGTACAATAGAACGGCCTTAATAACATACAGTGCAATAGAACAGTCTTAAAAACATAGAGTACAATAGAACACTCGATATGCCATAGTCTCCTTCTCGTTGTGAGGAGGCTATGCATATTTGTGTATTGATCGGATTGTCTACCATGGCGCGTAACGAGTAGCACGCACTCAGTTGGTCATTGAATGCACATCGACACGTTGAGATGGCCTCTATCGCCTACGACAGACCGTTATAGGTCACACTATGGCTGAGACGGTAAGGCGGAGTACCAGACGACGTCACTCCTTGCATTTAAACTACACACAACTACATGGGCGTGGGCACAGTTGAAAACTTAGGTTTATCCCCGAAGGTGCCACACGCCCACGCATGCGCCTATGTAATCACAGACCCAAAAAAAGCGTGGATGAATCTGTCTTCATTGTATATTCACACAACAGCTCTCGAGACAGGGCTTATAAAACAGAACCCCTGATCTCGTCCGCAGCCGACTACTACCAAGACTACTTGCAGCGTGATGTACTTACGTCTGCGATGGGCCGGCCATTCTTGGGCAGAGTGGGTGTGTACTGTTCGCCCTCAACCGGCTTTTTGTACTCTTTCATCATGTCTGTGTACATCTGCGGTGGTCAGGGGACAATCCAGTTGATTTTAAAATAGCACTTCACCATCACGAGCATAGTTAAATGTTCTACGAAACTATATATGCTAAGTATGGTATGAGTATTGGACACATAAGTTCAGGGACATATGCATACATAAGTTCGGGACATATACATATGCACCAACATGTGAATTGGTAAACACTTGTATATAACCTCAATAAAAGAAGTAAGAAATAAACAAAATACTGTTTGAATCCATTTGCGTGCGTGTGCACATAAATGAGGTATTAGTCATGCTTTATATCGTGCGTATAAAAGTACGTTTACCGCCAAACTCAGAAACAGGACCAGTGACTATCGTATAGGTAGGTGCAATGAGCGTTTCCGATGGATATAGTAGCTATAGAGATAACAGACAATGGCTGTATATAAACACATACAATTATTTAGGTCAATCCCATTATGAACTGTGACAGAGGCAACAAGGTAAAGACCGTGCAGCAGAATTGCCTACCAGACCCTCGCCTGTTATCAGCCGTATAGTGAAACGTTAGATCCCAGTAAATGAACAGATACATCGACACTGGATATGTAGGGCCAGTAGACAAGCCACGCCAAACTTCGACGGGACAGACGTCCTGGAAGGTACATACAAATCCCGACCACTGACGACGAATACCGACTCAGAGGAGAGAGAAATGAAACTGGGTGTTTGCACGAACCTTAACCCTTGACTTTTCAATCTCCTTGCTAACAGCTGGGATCAGCCGAGCCAGTTTGAATACACGGCGTTTGAGATCGTCGAATAAACCTGAGAGTGTTGACCAATTGAGTCAGCCGAAGTATGTAACTACGGTCGCTAACGGGGTCTGCGCTCATGGGTATAAGGCTATATCCAACGTACATCCGTCGGTGATAATTTGAAGCACGGGAGAACACTTACCCTGTACATACGTGATTTAATGAAGTCAAACAAGCGGAACACCAATCCCAGGGATAACACGCATGTGCACAGATGGATCATAGACACACACTTGTACGTAAGTCGAGAGATGCAGCTTCATCCAAGATAGACGTGGATGAACGACTAACTTATTCACAAATGATCGACAGAATATATTTAGCTACATCATACTTGAACATATACATGCATGCATCTGCCCCCCCCCCCCCCCCCTAAATAATGTATCTGTGAATACCGCAGACTCAAAACACTGCCTGTGAGTATGAAGACGTTAATATATACCATAGCAGTATACGAAGATTAAGTACAACCTCGCAAAGTAGTATAGTTCAAGTTGAAACTAGTCGCTCAGAGTAGGACTGGGTACTGACTGCTGCTTAAACTCGGTTTTTACAGAAGCATGTATAAGTGAGAGTACAGTGCACGTACACTGGGAGACTGAAAGGCAATGTTCATCCCATAATCTACGGTAAGAGTACTAGGCCGCCAATGTATTCCAGTCAACAGTGACAACACACAACATCGCGCTTTGATAGGCGGAGACCAAACTACAGGGTGTGCCGTATCCAGACAAGATCAATCCACTTGAAACCTTTCCGACCCATTTCATGTGAAAGTGATTAAGGAAAAACGACCCTTCAGCTATAAAAGACTCGACGCATTTAGCGACCCAAAGACAAATGTCATTGACAAACAGCTCATCTAGCACCATATCAGAAATAGTACTATTGGTAGTTGCGGTGACTGTGAAGCATAATGTGTGAACTGCATAGCCATGTATATACATATCCATAGGCATATACACCATACACTATATACTGTATCCACATATTGCTACGGATAAACATACCTATGTCAGAACGATGCGAATTTTGCAACACGTTGATGGTCCACATAGTGGCGGCACCATAGGCCACCAGCTTCCATGGCTCAGTGCCGCTGAGATAACCATTCGCAGTGCCCGTGACAGCCTGCCAGGCACCTACTATAGATGCTTCTCCCATACTACTTCTCGAGGTACACTACACCCACACAGTTAAGTACTTTATGTATTAACCCGATATGTATTTATATATATAGAAAGTATTTATATATATAATTATATACGTACCCAACATTCACTTCAAAAAATTAAAACAGATGAAATCCGGCGATTGCGGACTCTGGGTGGATACTATATAGAGTATAGTAGGGTTTAGGGTTTAAATCGATATGATAGGCCCACAGCCAGAAGTCCATCACGATATCATCTCTAGAACAGATATCACGGGATAAATATTTATCACCACCAGAGATGTCTTAGGTCTCTTGACCAGAGAGTTGGTTCACCACGCCCCCAACAAGTATCATTTTATTAATATCTATTTAAAAAAAATAACTTCACTCCATATATATACATAAATACTGTGTTTTATTATTATTAACACCCCATCCACGTACTAAGGGGATAAAATAGGGCCAAAAACAAAGAAGCGATCCTGATTTACTAAATCTGGACTTCAATTTATTCCCAATTTTTTTTTTTTGGCATATTTCAAGATTAAGTATTTCGTAAATGATCTGTGAAGGCGCCGAGGTCGTAGTACAAGTAGAACATCTTCTATGCTTAGGATTCTAACACTACATCGGAAACCTCCCAAACGCGATTATTGAGTCTAAATATGCATAATTAGTAAAGTTTCAAAGTTGCCACGTACAATTATTTTCAAAACAATATCGTATATGCATTCTTATAACCGTAATGCAAGTTACAGCTGCTAAAATCGAGAAAAAGTGTGTTTACGTCATTTGATGTGCCATGCCATCGAATACACGTTGAATCTCATTTCCTGAACTTTTTGCCAAAATTCACTACTTATTCACCTACAAACGATTATAATAACGTTATTATGGTTTGATTATGCTTATATAGAAATAGCGAAGGTCTGAAAATCATATTGAAGACATAATTGAATATGCACACCAAATGGATGTCATTGATGGACACGCATGCACGTACATGGTGATTTTGAGCAAGCATAATGAGCCTTATATACCGCAAAGATGATTTCTGAGCTAATAATACTTGTATTTATTATATATTAGAACCCTTAGAAGGTTTAAACTGCTATTACTCGACCTGAAAATCCAAGATTTGACATGGTCGAAAAGTGCACAATCCCTGTTCATAAATCGATACATAACTGTGTGAACCAGTAGAGCTATCAACTTGGCTCCTGCGCAAAATTCTTTTGAAATGTTTTTTTAGAAAAAGTCTAGAAAATATAATTGGGATTATATCCAAAACCGGATATAGTGAACTAGGTTTGGTTCTTTAAAATCGAGTCCCCTTAGTCTAAGGACGGGGTGTTAAAAAAAGTGTCAAGTGTTTAAATACAGAACATTACGAGCTAAGCGGAATTAAAGTCCGCAAGAGCACTTGAGGATTGCCCGGTTTTGTGACTTTGCCTGACATCGTGACTACTAAGAATGGAGGACGCTGGACTGAATGACGACAATGTGGACACCGAAAAGGAGCTGGCTGAAAAGCAGTGGAAGGCGCTGCAGTTGGCTGGGAAACAGGTGCGCCTGAAACCTGATATTTTTTACTTACGATTAAGTCGTGGACGCAAGTGTGATGTTGAGAAGGCTATGATTAAGCAGTACACAGAAACACGTTCAGTATCACCATAGTACTACCGTAGATTTGTTTTTGAGACTAGCCGCGTAATCTTGAGAACTTGCGGTGTAAGTCACATACTTCGGCAGAGACCTATGTCGGTCAGGTTAAATTTGTTCGCGCAGGTTCGATTCAAATTTATATTGCGTTATCAGTGTTAGATGATCTGATCTTTTTATAAGCGATCTTTTTATAGGCAATACTTGTCGCAGATTATTTTATATATTTTCACACACTCTTAATCTCTCGTCCAACCTCAACTCTGCCAAAAATGACCTTTGTGGAACTATTATGCGTGCACCAATTCAATACACTTGATGATTGGTATCGTCAAGTATGATTCTCAATAATAACTAGGTGTTCCATATTTTATTTACATTTATATTTATATCATATATATATATATATATATGTGGGTGTATGTATATCTATTTACTGTATATATATGCATCTATATGTATATAAGTTATATATATATGTATATATATACTTAATAAATGTATGTATATATAAATATATATATTAATATATATACTGCGTATATTGTATATATTATATATATATATATATATATATATATATATATATATATATATATATATATATATATATATATATATATATATATATAGTAGTGTAGTCGTACGTACGTTAACG